TCTCTGTAGTCACCTGGAGCAGATTCTTCTGATGCAAGGTCACTCAAGGTTACTCCAGCATCTTTCCATTATAGCATTCATAGAAGTATTTTTATAATGCCTAGTAGCTTTTAATTAATAACAATATTTAATCTTCATTCTCCTTACAGTATTTAACTGAAGTTGCTATACAATCTATGTTATAAAATATTTCTAACCATATCATGGGTTTTTGGGTTTTTTTTATTGTTGTAGTTGTTACTGGTTTAAAAAAAGTCATGCTATAGACCATAAACTACACATTTTTACCTAAAGATCAGATGCAATCAAAGATTCTTGTCTAATTGCTTTTGCCCATTCCTGTCACTTTTGATGTCCTAGGAAAGTAAGTGCAACTCCATATGTTTTTCCTTTTATGTTCTAACACCTTTTCTTGGACCATGGTGTCAGGTGAGGGAGAGTCATTTGAGCACAAATTCTATGCAACTTGGTCCCTTTTTGGCTCTGCAGGAATTAAAAGAAGTATTACATTATTGCCATGTTAAATTAGCAAATGTTACATTATTGCCAGGTCCTATGTTAAATTATAGTTTGTATAATTTAGCATTACAGGTAATACAATCAATGAAATACAATCTATGGCATCAACTATGATTTTTTGGGAAAATTTTGAATGTATTATCAACAGTAAGTCCCCTGCTGTTGAACTGCTCTATATGAACTTAAGATACACTATCGTGATAACTCTTTAATAAGCTGCTATGATCATAATATAGTGGACTATTTCCCTCTTGTAATCCTCTGTCTAAGAAGAATATAGAATACATTCCAAACTTAGAATTGTCAGTCCTCGAAACATAATAATGCCTGGGAAGAACTGGTTTAACATGTACACATTTGTGTATATATAAATGATAACATTAGGCACCACTAAGACCACTTTTACCAGTGCCATAATGGCAAGAAGTTTGAATGACTTTTATTGGCAGCCTTTTTTATTTTAGCCTTTCTTATGCATGTGTGGTACCTCAATGTGACTTTAATTTGCATTTCCCTGAAGACTAATAATGTTAAGCAGGAGCTGGTAAACCACCACCTGCTTGTCAAGTCCAGCCAACTCTCTAGTTTTCAGCATGGTTTTATTGGAACACATGTGCACGTCCATTTGTCTGTTTGATGGCTATAGCTGGTTTTGTGCTATCATGGCACAGATAAGTAATTATAATAGAGAACATCTGACCTTCAAAGCCTAAAATATATACTGATTTGACCTTGTTCAGATTCACTGATGCTCTGAGGCGGAGCATCTCATGATGTGTTGTTGCTCCCATATGTCTCCTTCAGTGAAGATGCTATCAGAATATTTTGTCTTTTTTACTTGAATGTTCTGTCTTCTTACTGAGTAGAAAGAATTCTTTTCAATATTCTGAACATAAGTCCCTTAATATATATATATATTATACATTTTTTTGCCAATTATTAATATGCCTTTTATATTTCTTTTTAGTTAAAGGTCAAAATGCTATGCTTATGTTAAAGGTCAAAATGAAATTCAGCTTATCAGTTTTTGAAATCTAGCTTAATATGTCATATATGAATGATGAGAATTGTTCTATTTTTCTATCTCAGAAATTTTGATTGTGTATTAAAAAAAACAAAATAAATGACTGAACAAGTACAAAGGTTGGCAGTGTAAATAAAATGTATGCAAAAAGTGGGAATCCTATGGTTAAATAGGTCTTATCCTCATAATCTTAATATAATTATTATTTTACTGACATCAGTAATTATATTCTTTAGTTAATAAGTTATGGAGATTAATACTTATCCGGTTTATTAATGGTTACTCCATCTCCTCATATTTAGAAAACTTCTAATTTATTCATTAGTGTTTTAAAACACTGAGAGCACATGAATGAAATATTGCTACCACATTAATATTTTTTACCTTTAGAAGACAGTTTTAGTATTTTGTAATTTTTCTCTTGAAGTTATTTTATCAACTTGACCAACTCCATTTCAACAGTTTAGGTCACATTCTAAAATATTTTGGTAAGTATAAGCTAATTTTAAGAGAGATCAAACATGAAAGAATTCCTTCTTACTTAATAGAATATAATGATAACTCCTTTCTCACATGTCTGTAAGTGGCTGTCATGGTGGTTTGTCATGGTAGTTTAATCCTAAGTACTATGTGTTTGTTTATGTTTCTTAGGAGAGCCACTAAGAAATTTGGGGTCAGTATTAACATGTCTGCTTAGCACCTACACATACAGCCATAGCAACCTGACTACTCAGGTTGATCCAGATAATTCTATAAGCTTACAGAGCTCCATCTTTGGTCCAGTTTTCTAAACTTGTCAACTTCCTCACTGTTTTCAATGCCACGGGCATATAATTACTTTTAAAAAATTAAAAGGGGATTAATTACAATTTTGTTTTGAAGGACTTTTTTTCATCTATTTTACACTACCATTGAAATATTTAGAGATACCCCAGGGTGTGTTAAACAGAGGATTAGAAATAATTGTCACAGACCTAAGGTTTTATTTTGCCAACTTACAGTCTTTCTTCTCAGCCATACTAGTATGGTTTTCTTGAAATGTTTGCATTCTTTATTTTCTTTCATTCTTGATTGGTACATGATTTGTTTCTCCTATAAACTACAATAAATTGTTTTTCTAGTACTGTTATTACTCTGTTATTTCTCTGTACTCCTGGGTTTTCAGGTTGACAAGTATGCTATTTTACATATAAATGCCTTCCTAGTTAAGTGTCTATCATACTGCATTGTTTTTCTACTATCTCTAAGTCATTCACTAGAGGTCTTTATACAAACTGTAAAGAAATGACTATCAAAAAAAAAACCCCACATATCTAGTTTTCCAAGCCATTAACCCAGAATTAAAGATAAATTTGGCAATGATTAAAAATAGATTATTAAACACAGAGATATACCTTAAGATATTGGGAAACTGTTCAAGAGTATAAAGTTTAATGCTAGTCTAAATACTCATTTGAAGAAACATTTTGGTGAGCCACTCAGAATTTTGAGGTCAGAAAAAAATGATAACTTTTTTACCCCAAAATTCTTAGACCTAGACATGGTTTAGAATTCAGAAAATCTTTGGACTTTAGACATGTGCTAGGATGCCTAGATTTATATTAAACAACCTCTTCAGTGGGGTCTTAACCAGCCTACTTTACTTAATTAAACACATTAATATTTCTGCAGTTAAACATGTGAATAGTCACACTGACTTCTCAGTGAGATTATGAAAGACTAAGTGGCCTTAGGATGATTCGAATAAGATTTTATTTCCAAATTAATTTGATGTGAACTTAGAAAAGCCATGCAAATCATTTTTTGGATTTCTGAATTATGGCTAAAGGGTGATGGATGGACCTGATCAAGTAACCAGTTACTGTGTAATTTACAATGTACCTAATTTAAAATACTATGTACCAGCCACTTGCACCACTCCCAGTTAACATCTTTCAAAGTAGATACTGTCATATATTATTCATAATTTATAAGTTAGAAAACAGAAGTCACAAGCATATTCATTCAGAGAGTAGCCTGAGGCCATGCTGCAAAGTAAGTGGCAAAGCTGGAGGTTGGGCTCAGCTCCTTCTAGCTCCAAAGACAAAAAACAAGGTTGTTTCCTCATAGGTTGGTCAAGACCTCTGTTTAGTATGATTGTCTGCCCCTGTTGCCTGCATAGTTAAAAAAAAACCAAAACTTGAAAATTTAATTAAGGTTTTTCTCCTCACTCTACTTAATCTCCCAAGAAAATTTATCTGATGATCTTTAAACACGAATGACACCCAAAAGGATCATAGCATCATAGACATTTGACTTACTGTTGGGCATCTCCATGTAAATGTCATGCTGTCCCAGAGAGCTCCAAGTGGAACTAATCACCTTCTCTGCCTATTTCTTCTTTTACCACTCTCTGTGCTGATACCTTAGTTACCCCTGAACTGAAACTCTTCCTTTCCAACTCTGTTAATCACAAAGTCCCAAGGAAGTGTGGCCAACATGAAGGATGCTGAGAATTTTCATAATGCAGAATTCATTTTACCAATTTAGATTCTTTCACTATTTCCAGACAGTATATATGGAGTGAAGGTTCTGGGCCACCCTGATGGCACAAGGGGTTAAGCACAGCACCATGAAGCTATTCACAGCCTCTGCAACACGTGTTCAATCCCTGGCCAGCCAAGGACCAACCCACACAGCACAGCAGACCTCTCCTGTCTCACCCGTTGCTCCCCTCAGCAGTGTATTTAGTTAGTTTGCCTGTTCTGTCCCCTGCTCTGTCTCTGGTGAATCCTTTCACCCCGCCCCCCCATACCTCTGGCCTGTACCCCAGTTCTTGTATGCATAAATCTTTTTTTTTTAGATTTATTTATTTATTTATACAAGCACTGGGTACAGTCAGAAGTGCGGGAGGGCGAGAGCATTCATCAGAGCCAGAGCGGGAAGCAGAGCAGGCAGAGGAACCAAAGTACACTGCTGAAGGGAGCAGCGGGTGGCAGGAGAGGTCTGCATGCCATGTGGGACCCTCCTCCGGTGGCTGGGGAGCAGCCGGGGATCGAACCAGCGCTGCAGAGGCTGTGGGCAGCTTCGCAACCCAGCACTCAACCTCTGTGCCACTGGAGAGGCCCTGCATAAATAAATCTTTAAAAAAAAAAACGTGAAGGTTCTGACCAATTTTAAGGCAAAATCATCCTAACTCCTGTCTATTTTTGCTCAATAATAGATTATCAAATATTAAATACTTTGTATTTGATTTTACTTTGTATTCTAGACTGCTTTATGTTATTAAATCTGTTCTCTTCTATCTCAAAATTACCTGTCATTAGGTACTTGGATGGGTGTGATAGGATATTGAGTAGTTCAGTAAATAACATGCTTTCCAATAACAATGCCTCTAAAATTAACCTTTGTTTCCACATTGTTCTGGGATGCACAGAGGCAAAGTAACAGAAGTCTTGTTTTACATTCCCATCTTTAGGTAAAAGGCCAAGCCTGAAAGTCCACATCAATACCACCAGTGACTCCATCCTCTTGAAGTTCCTGCGTCCAAGTCCTAATGTAAAACTGGAAGGTTTTCTCCTCGGCTATGGCAGCAATGTATCACCAAACCAGTACTTCCCGATTCCCACGGAAGGGAAATTCTCTGAGGCTATCGTTGGTAAGATATTCACTGTCAGGCATGACATGAAGACAGGTAAAAGGTTATATAAATCTTGAAGTCAAGTGCCATTTCTTCTACATTCTTGATGAAACGAATGCCAGAATTACAAATCATCTTCATAATTGTGAAACAGTAGCATAATTTCTTTTTTAAACAATGTACTTTATTTTTTTAATATTTTGTTTTATATGATTCTTACCTCATTTTTCATTTTTGCACACTATATGCATTTTCATTTGGGTTATATTCCCCATACAATTGCACCTCCCCTTATTTTGACCCTAATCCTTCCTCTCCCTGCCCCACCCCCCATAGTGTGTCTCTGGTTTAGAGTTGCTTGTTGATTTTGATTTTTACTTTGTAGTAATTAGTCTTTTTCCTGGTCCCTTATTTAGGTTTTCTGAATTCCTGCTATGAGTGAGACCATCCAGTATTTTTCTTTTTCTTTTTGACTTATTTCACTGAGCATGATCCCTTCTAGCTCCATCCATGTTGCTGCAAACTGCATGTGTTTATCTTTTTGATTGCTGAGTAATATTCCATGATGTATATGTACCACATTTCTTGATCCAGTCATCTATTTTTGGGCATTTGGGTTGTTTCCACAGCTTAGCTATTGTAAATAGTGCTGCTATAAACATAGGGGTGCAGGTGCCCTTTGGAATTAATGTTTCTGTGTCGTTTGGGTAAATACCTAGGAACGGAATTTCTTAAATCAAAAAATATGTAATTCATACTTTGCATGTAGTGCAAAAATAATCAACTTCACTGACATCCTGATCACATAACCGAAATTGCATAGGCTAAACATCAGCCAAAATGCCCAGCATAAGTCTCTGTAACAAGGCTTGTTTTTGTGGATTAATATTCCTCCCTGCTGTGTCTTTACTTTCTTCTGGTGGAAAATAATATCTATGGAATTTTTGGTGTAACTTCATGAGACATTACCTTAAAAGAGAAAAGAAAATGCATTACATTTTCAGAAAAACAGTATTTCTTATATGTATAATAAAATTGACTTTTATTTGAAAATCATATTAGAATGTAATTTGCAAATGTGTACCCCTTCAAGTCTTGTCCAGATTATTTGCATATGAAATCCTTTTAAGGGATTTTTTTCTAAAGGGATCATCTATTAATGAATGCTTTCGAAGGCCTTCTAAGCAATCTATGGTGAGGTTTATATTTCATTCCCCTGCTGTGTTTATTGCTAGAATCTTTCCATGAACTTCAGTGTTTAAACCTATAAGTTGAACTACTGTAGATCAGATCTGGCATTCATACAGAATTTCTCAGGTGATCTTAAAAATGCCTTCTCAGGGGAGTTTCTTTTTTAGTTGGTATGTAAACAAGGTCTACATGTTACATTTGGTTCTTAAGTCTCCTAAATCTCTTATTCTGTAACAGTCCTCTCTCCCTTCTTTTTTAAAATGTCATTAATTCACTGGAAAAATTAAGTTGTACTTCCTTGTCCACATTCTATTTTTAAGTGGTTGCTTTCATTCTGTATTTTTTAACTGCCTCCTCTATCCCCTGTATTTCCTATGCAAAAATATTTAGATTTGGAAGTTGTATTAGATTTTGGATTCAGCTCTCTGTGAGGAAATAATGCTTTATACGTAGTACTGTGGTTTTTTGGCAACTAACTGAAAATAGATGTACAACAGGGCCAGTGTCATACTTTGTAGGTCTGCTGAGTGTGTTTCCTCCATTATGAAGTACACCATCAAACTTTCACTTAATGGTTCATTAACCAGATCTATTATTTTATATTATAAATTGGCAGTTTTACCTTTTAGATAGCCTAATTTTCATCACCACACTTGTATCTTTTATCTAACAGTCTATAATAAGGAAGAAATTTCTCTCTTTTACTTAATTTTCCTTATGTAGTGTTTTAGAAAAGGCAGTATATATTCTCATTGGGATTAGTAGATGCCCTAAAAATCCAGTGGTGATCAAGGTCATTGTTTATTTTATGACCAATAAGAATGCATTGATTGTTATAATTTTCTGGGCTTTTATCATTATAACATTGTCCATTCCCTATGATTCTTTTCATTGTTTAACCTGAATTTGTTTAGCTGTCTACTTTGGTTCTCAGTGAACTCTAAGTCAAGGTTTGTATCTTACTTTTTGGTTATTCATAGCAGAATAATTTATGTTGAGTAAAGAAATCATAAATATTTGTGGCACTGCATTGAATAGACTCAAGTCTTTGTAGAATATTTAGGTTGGAGGAAGCCATGATATATTATTTATACCATGTCACCAGGCAAATAAATATCTAAGCCATGTGAGGTAGATAAATAGATAAATCACTGGGTGTCGTTAGTATCTCTAGGGGCAAACATTCCAAAATTTCTTCTAGGTTAGTCCAAACAGCATTTTTTAAAACATTTGCCTCATTCTTTTAGATCATTATATTCCTTTTTATGATCTCACTTCTATCATTAGCTAGAAGAGGAAAAAAATGCCCCTTACATATTTCCTTTCGCATCTTTCTTAATGCCAAGAAATCTAGGACAAAAAAGAACAATCTATATGCTTTTACTTTCATTACTTCAGATGGTCTTGATTTCAAATTTAAATATTTTTCTTTGGTCATTTAAATTGATTGTATTTCATTTCTTTAAACATTTCTTATTGAAGTAACATTGTATGGGTTTTGGCTATACAGCATTATAAATCAAAATCTGTATCTACTACATTATGTTTACCACTAAAGGCCTCATTTCCATCCTTTATCATACAAATGCCCCTTTTACTCTATCCACCACCTGCCCTCTTCCGGTAACCATTACTTTGTTCTTATCATCTGAGATACTGTTTTTCTTTTGTGCTGTATTCATTAGTTTCATTTCTTTATCTTCAACTTATGAGTGAAATCATACAATATTTGTCTTTCTGATTTATTTTAGTACAATATCTTCTAGGTATACTCATGTTGTTGCAAACATCAGGATTTCATCTTTTTTATAGCTAAATAGTATTCCTTAGTGTATGTGTGTGTATATACACATATATTTATAGTGTTTTGGAAAATATATGTTTATATATGTATACAAATTTGCATATACACCTATATATTTGTATATATACATATATGCACACACATACCATATCTTTATCTAGTCATATGTTAATGGGTACTCAGTTTGTTTCCCATTCTTGGCTATTGTAAATAATGGTACAATGAGCATGGGGGTGCATATATCTCTTTGAATTAGTATTTTTGTATTCTTCAGGCAAGAATATGAATCCAACCTTATATAGCTGAATATAGTCTTTCAAATTATTGTGTTTTCTTTAATTATTCCTATTTGATTAAGCAGCTATATACTAGTTTTCTATTGCTGCTATAACAACTTACCACAAACTTGTTAGTCTATGTTAGCACCTTACTATCTTATAGTTTTGTAATCAAAAGTCTACCGTGGGTCTCACTGGGTTAAAGTCAAGATGTGGACAGGGCTGCATAACCTTTCGCAGGCTTTAGAGGAAAACTTGTTTCTTTTTCCAGTTTCCGGAGGCTACTTGCACCCCTCTTTTCCCTTCAAAGAAAGCAACAGTGGGTCTCATATCCCTGCTTTTGCTTTTTCTGTTCCACTTTTTTTTTTAAAGATTTATTTATTTATTTATACAAGCCCTGGGTACAGTCAGAAGCGCGGGAGGGTGAGAGAATTCACCAGAGCCAAAGTGGGGAGCAGAGTAGGCAGAAGGACCGAGGTACACTGCTGAGGGGAGCAGCGGGCGGCAGGAGAGGTCTGCGCGCCATGCAGGACCCTCCTCCGGTGGCCGGGGAGCAGCCGAGGATCGAACCGTTGCCGTGGAGGCTTCGGGCAGTTTAGCAACACAGCGCTCAACCGCTGTGCCACCGGGGAGGCCCTCTGTTCCACTTTTAAGGACCCTTGTAATTATATTGATCTTACCTGTATGATCCAGGGTGCTCTTCTTACATTAAGGTCAACGAACTAGCAAACTTAATTATATTTACAACTTTAACTCTCCTTTAATCTAGGTCATGTAGCTAAATATATTAAAAAATTCCTGGGATTAATCTGTAAAGCAATTCTTGGGGTACTTGTAGAAGCTCTATGTTTGAAATTTGTGTCTCTATTCCTTTTTTGCACCATTATACTGTATGACCATTCATTTTTCACAGACTGTGCTGTGGGTGTGCTAGTGAATTCATGGCATAAAGTTATGAGTTGAAATCCCTTGAACGTAAGGTGCAATGTAAGAGCAAAGAATATTTCTTTATGGATAAAAAAAGCATCACATATAACTCCTCTTCTTATTTTCTTCTGTAATAGGATAATAGTATTTGTTCAGTTGCATGGAACTATACTCAAATATAGTTAGTTACTTTCATATTCAAAACAAATACTATATGCCACATCATCTGACACATCTGATGTGTAAAAAAGACCCCACCATTGATGAGAAGCTATTGATCATTCAGAAATATTCAAGTTGATTATTAGTGATTTGTGGACTAATAGACCTACTAAATAATCATTTATAAGTATTTCTATATTCATTGTAATATCAATTGTCTAGGAGTATAGGCATTTTCAAAAGACACAAATATATGAAAATAAACATAAAATATCCCCTTCTGCTATTCTGGAAATTAAGATTCATATAGAACTAATGTAAAACTTGATCTAAAATTTTAGTAGATTAATCAGAGCAGGTGAATTAATAAATATTAATGGCCATGAGGGGTCTGCAATGATGTGCCAACACATGATTCACATCTCATAGATCTGCTAGGTGCCTGTATCCTATTTTTCCCACATTATGAATGTTCTTATTCCTGTTTACATATCAGTATTTGCTTTGTTACTTTTATCTTAAGATGCTGGTAAGTTATCAAGTCCAATAAAGTAAAAAATGAGGGGTTTTTTTGACATTGAATTTTTATATACTTTATCTCTTCTTGGCATCTGAAAATACTTTAATCAATGCCAGCAAGGGTGGAAACCGTTACA